ATGTGCCCTTAACCAGGAATAGAACCAGCGACCTTTCGGTTTGCAGGATGACGGTCAACCCACTGAGCCACACCAGTCAGGGCCCAATGAGACACTCTGGATAATCCAGAATTGTACTGATAAGTAAATTCATCAACTTGAAAAATATAGTATTATATAGAATAGTAGGGGAGAAATCCTGTCATCTATTGTTTGAGCCATTTTGGTGAACCTTTGGTTCATGAAGTTCTGTAATCATATCAATTTACTTCTTAGTAATTTTTAGTGAATAGTTTGAGCACAACGTTTCATACTTCTCACAATCTACTTTGTCCAACTCCAAAACAGATGTTTCCAATGATTAGGTATATTTAAATTTTCACTTCCTAGTACACATTATAAATAGTGACTAGAATTTATGTTAAATGACAGCATAAAGACTGTAGGTCCTTTACATTTTCATATAACTTTTGCTATCAGTTTATTAATCTCTACAAAAAAGGCCTGCTGGGATTTTGATTGGGATTAAGTTGATCAAGAACAGAATCAACTCCCAGAATGCAGTCAATGTAAAAATTAATTATATATTTGAGCAATACATGGAAAGGAAACTTTTTAATATTAATTGAAATACAATTAAAAACAAAAATACTTAGAAATAAATTTAATGAAAATTGTGAAATAATTCAGTGAAATACACTGAAATCTATAAAATGAACACAGATAAATTACAGATCTAAACAAATTCAGAGATATGTTCTACGATCAGGGGACTCAATATTGTTAAGGTGCCCATATTCCTCAAATTAATATATAGAATCAATCCACTGCCAATCAAAATCCCAGAGGTTTTTCTTTTTTATTATTTATTTATTGGGGGCAGGGAGGGTGGTGGAGGGGAATCAACCAGCTGATTCTAAAATTTACTTGGAAACACAAAGGATCTAGAATGGTCAAAAGAACCTTGAAAAATAAAGACTGGTTTAGGACTTAACACATCCTGACTTCAAAACTTACTATAAAGCTAAAATAATCAAGACAGTTTAAGAGTGATATAAACAGACATATAGATCAATGTAACAGAAAAGTCCAGACATAGACCCACATAACTTATGGTCATGTGATTTTCCCCCCCTAAGGCGTTAACATAATTCAATAATAAGGGATTAAATCTTTCCAACACATAGTACTGGAATAACTAGATATCCATATGGAAAAAAATGAACTTCAATGCCTACCTAATACTATACTCAAAAATTAACTCAAAATAAGTCATAGATCTAAACACAAAAGCTAAAACTACAAACCTTCACAAAGAAAATAAAAGAGCCCTGACCAGTGAGGCTCAGTTGGTTGGAGTGTCATCCTGTACCCCAAAAGTTTGTGCCTTCGATCCCCAGTCAGGGCACATACCTAGGTTGTGGGTTCAGTGCCGGGTCAGGGCATGCATGGGAGGCAACCAATATATGTTTCTTTCTTTCTCTCTCACTCTCTCCCTTCTTCTCTCTCTAAAAAATCAATAAACATATCCTTGCATAAGGACTAAAAAAGAAAAAGAAAGTCTTCATGGCCTTGAGTTAAGGTTAAGAATCCTTGCACAAAGGGATTGGCGTGGTGATTGTCCGAGTGTATACATTTGTCAAAACTCAGAAATGTACACTAAAAAGGGTGATTTTCTGTACATAAATTATATCTCAATTTTTCAAAACAAACAAACTACAGCTGCACACAACATAAATGAATTCCAAAACCATAATATTTGCAAGGGAATCAAAACATAATCTTTAGGTGATAGACCTAAAATGAATAGCAAGAAAGTGAATTCCATAAAAGTTAGCCGAGTTGTTAACTCTGAGGCAGTGTAAGAGGGCAGCGATCAGGAAGCGGCCCAAAGGGTACAGCAGCTTCAAGTATGCCGGTATTTTTCTTTCTTTTCTTTCTTCTGATTGTTACATGAGTAGTTTGTGGTACTTCGTTGAGCTACTATTTATATTTTACATCCTTTTAAAAGAAAACAAGCCAAGTAACTCAGGGTAAATTATAAAAGAATGATATAAGAATACATATTTTTCGGAGGTATCTATTTTCATTCATATCTTGGCTATACCATTCATTAGAGGTGTGACTTTCCACAGGCTTCTTAATCTTCCTCAGTCTGTTTATTAATCTATAAAAAATGTATTCTGCTGTTTCTTGGAAATGCCTAAAAAACTTAGACTTCTATATTTTGTAACACTACAATGTATGGATATTTTTATATCCATAAGCTGGAGGCTATTTTCCCTATACAGTAAGGACACAAAGCTGGTAATCTGAGTAATTCTGACATGGATTTATGACTAGATTCTAGAAAGCCCAACTCCTTCAGGAGGGCAGGCTGCTGTATTTGTCTGTACACTAATCAAAAGTCAACCTATGTATACTCAGATGAATAAGTTAGAATCAAATTATATAAGCCAAGATAACTACAGTCAATCCTCACTTTACCACATTTGTTCTTGCAAATATATTAGTAACACAATTAGTAAAAAACATGCAGAAACATTGTTATTAACTCTATGACTATACTCAATATCTAGGTTTCAGAATATATATAAAACAATTATTTCATATAGACACTTCAGTGTTATGTACTAAGTTATTCATCATACCAGGCTTCAGTTTAGTGTACCCTAGTATGCAAAACATGAAATAGACAGTCTGAACAAATTGGTTCTTTTGGTTCTCTAATAAATGTAGAAAGTAATATTTTTTAAAGTATAACTGGCACCTGCCAATTTTAATAGCAGTGACTGTACTGATACTTTTAAATTAAGACCTAAAAAATACATATACATTCTAGCCCGTAATTTTCTTAATAAAATAGTTTTTACAATATCTGATCTCTCATGAATATACTTTTCTCAGAACTGTCATTCATATTTGCATATAAATGGCACCCAGATATAAGATATTTATAGTCTCCATTCGTGAAACATGTTGGGAACTTAATTTTTCTAAATTAATTGGATAACCTATACCAGTGATCATGAAATCATCTGAAAGCAATATACTAAATAAAACATATTTATAAACACTAGAGGGTGCTCTAATTCAACGGTCCTTTGTATCTGGCTTTGATGCTTAAAATGATTTTCTCAACTAAAGATATTCTTCAGCACCAACTATTTTTGCATCTGAAATAGTACATATAGATAATTTATGAGACAAAATTCTTCCAGAATCTATAATAAAACAGTATAATTCCACTGAAATCATTTTTTATTGTACAATTATTATATATTTAAAATTTTGTTAGGTGGAGAGAACAGAAATGAAGTACAGAAGAAGTATAAGATGGTCCTTGACTATAAAGGAAATAAATGCAGAGTTCATATGGTTAACAGAAGATATAGCATATCTTATGGACCTAAGTTCAAGGAAAATTACAAAATGAATTTGGTAGAAGACATAGTAGCTCAATTTCAATTTTAGTTGCTAAGTATTATATAGTTCAGCTATTTTACAAAGGTATTTTGAAAGTCATCATATAAACAGTAAATAAAAGTGCCATTGCTGTAGGATATTGTCTCCTGTCTTAAGAAAATATTGTTTAAGCCAATAGCTAGAAAACTGAAAAAGAAAATCCAATACCTTCAATATCCAGAATAGGAAATAATTAATAAAATATCAATATAAATTTTCATAAAAGATGCATGTTTGCTAGTTTTTTAATTTATTCCTAAAATGTTCATAAGCTCAATTACACATCTTTAAATATTTCAAATTTGAGAGTAAATTGTATGGTGTTGCCTACTGGCAATCAAGAATAGTTCCCTGGAGTATTAGTTTTCAACAGACAGCATTAGACAACCACAAATAACAGAGTTGAATACCTAGGAAAACATATCACCCATATATTTCAAGAAAGGGACTATTAACTGAGACACTATTTAATCCTAACATTTGCCTTTAAAAATGTTTCCAGAGGAAAAAATAGATTACAAATATTTCTAAAATTTACATACCCAAAATCAACCAATTTCTCTCAACCTCTCTCTCTCTCTCTCTCACTCACACACACACACACACACACACACACACATACACACACACACACCCTACACACATGAATGAATGCACACTCACTGCTCACTCACATGCAATCCACTCCCCAAGAAGGGAGTACCTGGTTTATATCTCTCTCTCATTCTTTCCCCTAATGAATTATCAAGAGCCTCCAAAGCAAATCCTAAACAGTGACACCTGTTGATGGAGGGTCACTTCAAATTTACAATAGTCCCAGACAAATTGTTCCAGATTAACACAATGCAGCACTAGGGAAAAGCCAGAGATATAACTGAACCAGGCTCACAAACCACCCACACTCTAGAAACCGAAATACATGGCATTCAAAGAATTAATCAGATTGCTGGAGCCCAAAGAAATTCTGAACACAGAAGCATTGTGTTATAGTCTAGAGTATGTATTTGGCACCTATATTCTTTTGGCACTCAGTCCCCTTTTTATGTTTATCTGCCTTGCATTGGCCAGATTCCTAGGGCCCCAAGTACACTCTAAATACCAGCTGCCAACTTCGCTACTCAGTGTCACATCAATTAATACCTTCTATTCAATAGGTAACAGCATACATAGTCATTAATGTCTGAAATGTTCACATATCTGTCTTTTCAAGAAGGTCTTCTGGACCATTATATACACCTCCATCAAGGGAAAAATATGTCTCTGAGAGAGCCAGTTACAAGGAATATTTTAGTCCTTTTTAGCAAGTCTCAAGTCACACTACTACAAACATTGTATTTTGGAGTTACAACATAATCCTAATCACGATCATAGCTTCTCACTGATACTTAGAGCTTTTGTCCATAAATCTCAAAAGCATAGGACCTACATAAACTGCAAATTGGGTAGAAATGTGTTATTTTATTTACAAACACCAACTTTCACCTCTTACATTACATAAAAATTTACAAATTGTAAGACTAAAATATTCTATTCAAATCTTAATTTAAGAGGAATACCTGCTTTCTATGACTCCTAAATCTGGCAGCAAAGTAAGAGTCTCTGTTGTAATCTCCACTTTCCGGACACTTCCAAAGAAATCAGTTATCAGGACATTTTTAGGATTCCTCTGAAAAAGATCAGTGCGATGTCCAGGAGTAGACACACATAGACTCTTTGGACATACCTGAAACTGGAAAAAATATATAGGAATAATAAATACACATGTGTCTACATAGATATACAACTTTTATTAAATCCAGTAACACAATACAGCACTGTATTTTGATAGCTCTCCCAACCTAAAGAAGTTACTGTTTCTAAAGATAAAAGTTTCACTGCTATTATAGTGCTTGACATTTCAAGAAAGCTACATAGACATAAAAACAGGTGCTAAAAAGGAAAGCTGCCAGGACGGGGGGAAAACATCCACCTTTTTGAATCATATTGATCCCTTCAATCTCTGAGAACTCACACGCTACACTATGACAAAAGAATTGCATTTTTCCTGCCTCTACATCTACCTTCTTTGGGCGGGGGCGGCGGGGGCAGAGGAGGGCGTTTGTCTACCCAGTTGGCTTTTTTTAAACATTTTGTAATCATAAGCCTTCATTCAAATTTTAAATTCAAATAAAAAAAATTACATGGTAGCCCACTATGTAAAAAAAAAGATAAAAGTAGAGGTGCTGTGGCTCACAGGAAGTTCAAGCATAGCCTCCCCGCTAGATATCCCCCTGTTCTCCTGGTGTGGACCTAGGGAAACCATTACACAAATCAAGTAACTTCCTTAATTTATTCATTATGAAAATAAACCCATGGTGCCTTCAGACACGAGTGCTCCACAGAATATAGCCAAAAAACAGGACTTCATTGCTACACAGCTCTAATGATAATTTTTAAGTTAATCTTACCCCCGATATTCCACATCAGTGAATTACCAAGGACAGACATATATTCACTTAGCAAAGAATAAAAAGTACCTAATATTACATACATTTGGTACTGTTACCTTCCAGAATACAAAAATTGAAAAGACATGGTTCTGTCTTCAAGCCTTTAAGTCTTATCAGAGATAAATAAACACAGCAAGGTAGAAAAAAAGTGACAGGTTCTAATTCAGAAAAGAATAAACTTCTTCCAGTTTAAGGATAAGAAAAAAAGAGGGAGTGGGAGTTAAGTTATTTTTCTAAAGGAACAGGACTATTACAGATGGAATATAGGAACATTGCTAATAAAGGTGCAGCCGCAGAGATGAATAAGGCAAATAACCTAGTTTGCCAGAAGCAGGGGATATGTGAAGAAGAGCTCACAGGCCCGCTAGTAAGGGCCCAGGGACATAGCACTTGCCTAACTGTGCAGACAAGATGTAGACAAGACCATGTTAATAGGTAATCACAAGCATGACAGCACAGGGGTGGGAAGGGCAGAGCAGCTCTAATTTATGAAACAGCGCACAACACACTGTGCTAAACGATTTGCAGGTATTCTCATTTAAGCTTACCAATACGTTTGAGGCACATAAATATTATCTCTGCTTCAAACTGAGGCTCAAAGAGATTATGTCATTTGCCTAACATCACACTGCCTTCCCAGTTCAGGAAAGCAATAAAAGGAAACACAAAGAAGAGATCAGGATATAAATTAAGAAGCAAAGAAGGAAAAAGCCTGGGGGAAACTCAAGAAAATAAAATAAGGAAGGATAAAACAGATGAAAATTTGAAGAAACGAAGTAAAAGATAAAATAAACAAAGATAAGATTGAAGTCCTAGGTATGTTGAAGTCATTCCTATAGGAGGAACTTGATGGGCTTTAATTAGGTACCAGAAGAAGTAAGAAAAGCATAGTTGAATGAGTTTGGGAAACACTAAGTATTATCTTTTTCTCTGCTAAAATAATACTTTGAAGTCATTCTTCCCTTCAAGAATGTTTATTTTATCTGATTTTCTTATCCTCAGCAACATAATGACCCATAGGTCCTATAATTATTCATCTTAAATTTCAATAATCTTTCACTTACAGAATCTGCACACTCTAGCCAGCTTCTATGTTTATTACCAAAGACAAGGATCATCTAGTATTTCAGCTTCTGTGTTTTCTGCAGCTATTCCATTTTCCTAGAATATGCCATACTTTTCTTCTTTCAAACCTGAAAATCTACCACTTGCAAGAAAAATTTTAATCACTAATCCCACTGTATTCAAAAGAACCATATAAATGTGTATTGCTGTCATGTCCTTCATTCATTCCATAAACACCCACTAAGCATCAACAATTACTATGTACACATATAGTAATTGTATAGTAAAACCAGTTACTATAGGAATTAACTTCTGTGGGCTATAAGATGTATAAAGCATGATGATGCTTATACCTCTTATTTAAGAAACTCAAAGCCTCGAAGAAACATTACAGTGATAAACAATTACAGAGCAATATTAAAAGCATAATAAAGGTACATAGCAACAGTTACATGTTCATAGACAGAAGAACTGCCTGGAGGATCCAGAAACCTCATACAGCAGGTGATACTCTATAAACGTGCTCTTCAACTGTCACCAGTGACATTATACATTTTTAGGGGACTAAACAACAAGCCTTCTAATTTTTCTGCTCCTGAAGCCCTTAATATGTACTCTGAATACAGCTGATCCCCAACAAATTTTACTATGTACACATAATCCAACAGAAAATAGGTATTATTACAAAGTATCTAGAAATATGTCAAATCACTAAATGAGTACTATTTAACTTCAAGGAAATAGATCATTCTTACTGAACAAGAGTAAAATAATCATTCAACTAAAATTCAATTAAAGAACCAAGTGGAAGAGCCAGATGAAATTAGTGAGCGATTTTTTTTTTTTAAGTAAGTATTACAGAGCTACAAAAATAATGAAATCTTGCCACTTGTGATAGCGTGGATAGACCCGGGGGCATTACGGTGAGCGCAACAAGTCAGACAGAGAAAGACAAATACCATACGGTGTCACTTATATGTGGAATCTGAAAAAGAAAAAAAAAGAACAAACAAAAGAAAACAAAAACAGACTCATATAGAAACAGAGACCAAAGGCATAATTGCCAGAGGGAAGGGTAACGGGGGGAAGAATAAAAAAAGGTGAAAAGGAATACAGTCAATAATATTGTGATAAGTTTGCACCATGGCAGATGATATTCAGAATTAGTGAGGTAATAACACTGTGAGGTATAGAAATGTTCACTCACTATATTGTACACTTGAAACTAATACAACTAATATCATATTGTATACTAACTATACTTAAATTTTAAAAACAGCAAAGAGCAATTCTGAGCAATGAAAACTCATTCGTTTCCTCAGTGTTTCATATATAATTTCAATGGAATTAGTATATTTTTAATTCATTAGAAATTTTAAAATGTGAGGTGCATTTATTGTAAACTTTTGAGACAGCATGTCATGAAATAAAGAGGAATAAAGCCCTGAAAACAGGGAAGAATTTGGTAAGACCTCCTGGGTCTGATTTGACTCCTGAAAAATAGGTAGAATGTGAATCTAAAAAAAGTTCATTTCTGGTACGGAAAAGAGCAGAGCAAATGAATGAAAATAGAAAAGTACCTCAAGGAATAGCAAGTTAACTGGGGTAAATCTTTAGGTCTCTTGTAAAAAATCAGATTCTACTGTAAAGGGAGATTCAGAAGTTTTAAAAGGCCACCATTCAGCATGTGACATAGTACCCTAGTGGTATGGGGAATAACAGACTTAATTGATCATGTTAAGATTAACATACCTATGTGCTATAATCAAATCAAGGAAATACTTACAAGGTCATTCATATTAGTTTGGCTAGCTGGATTAATTTCTTCCAAAAATTCCAAGACATAAAATGTATATCTATCCATAAGGTGAACTCCAATTGCAGGATCAGGTTGATGCTACAAAAAAGCAAAGCATATACAATGGCATATTATTCAGCCATAAAGAAGAATGAAATGGATGACCCTTGAGGATATGATGCAATGTGAAATAAGGCACATGGAAAGGCAGACACTGCATGATCTCACTTACCTGTGAAATGAAAAAATAATAGTAATAAAGCAAGCTCATAGATACAGTGCGCAGATTGGTGGTTGCCAGAAGCAGGAGGATGGGGAATTGGCCAAATGGCTGAAGAGAGTCAAAGGGTACAAACCTCCAGGTATAAAATAAATGAGTCATGGATATGTAATTCGTAGCATGGCAGCTATCAATACCACTGTATTGCATATCTGAACGTTGCTAAGATAGCAAATCTTAAAAAGTCTCATCACACACACAAAAAATTCTGTAACCATGTATGGTGACAGATGTTAATTACACTTATTCTATTGATCATTTCACAATATATACAAATATCAGTCATGTTATACACCTGAAACCAATATAATGTTGTATGTCAGTTATACCTCCATAAAAAAATTTTTTTAAACCAAAGCATAAAAAAAAGTGTATGTCAAATAGCATCATTATATGTTTTAAATAGAATCAAAATTTCCTTCTAAGGTGTTAAAAAGTCTAAGAAATAGCAGATGTACTCATTAAGCATATAGCAATTTGAGAAATAGCTACACATTCCAAAGACAATGTTTACAAATCAGAAGAATGCACCTACCGAGAGTGAATCTTCTCCCACTTGGCTACTAGCTAAAGCCATTATGTTAGGAGAATAAAATCGCTCATACATGGATGCTCCTTGACAAGTATCAATAATAAAGAGTAGCTCATTGTAGCTGAAAGAAAAGTGGTAATATCTTTGACATGAATCATGTTGTTAATGATACACTGACTAATATTTTTACAATATTTCCATAACATAACATGTTGAAGTGATATCTTAGTCATTTCATTAGCTAAAAATTGAGACTTTTCAGTAGTTCCCAATATAAATTGGATAGCAGAAATATTAAGGGTATAATCCTGCCCAGGAAAACCACCTCAACAGGGAGTGGTTTTGTACCCAAACCGTTCCCTTTTCCCTTACCTACACCCCATAATTCAGAATATACATGAATAAAGAATATTGACTTCAACGAACACATATTTGGTATTCATACTGTCCTAGAAACTAATCTACATTCAGCCAAAAATAATAATAATAAAAAATACTCAAAGAACTTAAAATCTAACTGAAAGACTGACTTTTAAACTGCTTAAGTGTTAAAAATATTTGTTGAGAGCCTACAATGTGCCTGACACTAAGCTGGGAATACTAAGCCCTCACAGAGCTTAGCACCTAACACAGTCAAAGTGCTCTGAGAGCACTGAGAAAGGAACAGAGAGGACTCTAAAGAAAGTCAGGTCAGGAAAAGGTGACGTGTGACGTGGGCAATGAAGAGTGGGTGCTATTTTACCTAACAAAGAAAGGAAAAACACGTTCCAGTAAAAGAAAAAGTTTGTACTCAGGCACCTACATGTGAATAAGTATGAATGTTTAGGGAAAGGGGAACAGTGCTGTGAAGGTAGGATTTAGAGTAATTTGGGGAAATGGAGGGAAACTCCTGTCAGAAAGGCAGGCAACGTCAATTTGTAAGTAAAATATCCCAAATAAAGTTTGGATCTTATATCCTGTAAGTTTGAGGAAGCCACCAAAGGTTTTTTGTAAGTGAAAGAATAATATAATAAGCTCTGTATTTTAGAATGAACTGCCTAACTAATGAAAATGAAAGTAAGGGGCAGATAAGTTTTCTCAGAGGTTTCTCTCAGACGCTGGATCTAATCAAACAGCTAAAACACTGCACTTAGAAAATAAAATATGTATTCTTGAATCCCTATATCTAAGCAGGTGATAGAAGGCACAATTAATATGACATTCTTTTCTGAGACAAAAACAGTGGACACGCCTGAGGATCAGAACATCCAAGGTTAAATGAAGCAGTACAATACTGGGCTACCTGGGCATGAACCCTAATGCTGGCACTTTCCAGCTATGTAAACCTTGGCAAGTTGCTTAATCTGTTTACCTCAATTTATTCATTTGTGAAAAAAAGTAATAAAAGCATTTACCTGATGGAGTTGTTAATAACACTAAATCAGACAATACATGTAAAACACAGTGCCCAGCACCTACTATATATTCAATAACTGTAAGTTTTGAATAATAAAACCAGTAACTAGCAAAATCTTCCTCCTCAATACTTTCGTATTTTCTGCTTATGCTTATAATTCAAGGGGTGCGGAATTCAAGCTAAACAGAAAAACTTGAAACATTATCCATTCTCTTCCATCCTCCCCTGAACTCCCAGAGAAATCGAGAGCCATAAAATGGAATTTCTCTTCTCTGTTAAAATTGATGAATTTTGCCCCATCCTGGCCCCTCCCTCCTGTTATAATAGAGGAGCTGCCGTCATCGTAACATTCATGTAGTTCTCCGTGCATCGGTCCTCTTCTACCTTCTTAGGAATCATATACATTCTGCTTATGCTTATAATTCAGTATTTATAATATTGAATTTGTTGAATAGTTGGGTACATATATCTCTGTTCTACTATATTTTAAACTCTTTCAAGGCAAAATAAACATCATATTTCCCTCTGTGCCATATGTTTAGAAGGTAACCCATTGGTGTTTACTGAAGGTACTCAAGTGGAAAGCAGTTCTATTGCAATTTCAAATTCACTTAATAGGTTCATATGACAACTGTGAACCAAAGGGATGCTTATCATTAAATTACTAACAATATATCATTCTTAATGTGAGTCAAGTTATAAATTTTATACTAATTATAATTTCAACATTTTTTTCAAAGAAGAAATAATGTTTTGTTATCGCATTGGGGGCCAGAGGATGTGCAAAAAGTGAGAATAGGTACAAGTTGGAAAATAAATATATGTTCCTAATCCCCCTAAATAATGAGGAACTTGGTTAATGGGACTCTACTTCATCCAAAAAGGATGCTAAATAAGGTTATCTTTTTTCATGTTCTTTAATAACCCTGAGTTCAAGGAACAAGTATAAAGGACCCGTGGACAAAGCCAAAGTCGGGAAGGATTGAGGGTGGGAATATGGGGGTGGGTGGGGCAGGGGAAAGTGGAGACAAATGTATTTGAACAATAAAACAAACAAAAAACAAATAATTAAATAACTCCATTCAGTAGAAATAACAAATATAAATCTAAAAGAAAAGATTAAAGAAAGTCTCATAAAATAAGATCTACAAATCTACTAACCATAGAAAAATTAGGTGTTAATTTATCTTTTGAAAAGTAGTTATTTGCTAATTACCGTCTTTTCTGCCACATTTGTTCAAAAGCATCTGCAAGCTCTATGTTAGTAATTTCTTCAGAGTCTTGAAATTTCAAGAAGCCATTTCCACCATGTCCTTATAAAAAAAGTAAAAAAAGATTAAATAGATACATTTTTAATGCAAACTGCGTACTTCCAAATATAAACATTTACTTCAGTCATGGCAATTTTATATATCATTTGTTACTTTATACTCAAAAATTTAAAAAATAATGTGAAAACAAATTAATTTTATACCAACTAGAAAGAAAATAATGATAGACTACATAAAAACAGCAGATATAATATCTTTAAGAGTTTTTCTATCACTCAATTATAAAAAAGTACATTTATATTTTTTCACTGGCTCCATTATGTCAGAAACGAGCTTCCACAGATAAAAAGTTCTCAAACACCAGGCAAACATTCTTTAGTGAGAAAGGAGTGGAAGACTAGCTAGTGCCATGCTATGCTGGTACTATTCACAGTATTATAACTGTGCCCAGAATGCTATATTATTAGGAAGTGCAGTTAGCACTTTAAAAATGATGTTTTTAGTACTATTGAACACCATCCCAGAAGATTGTGAAATTTAGAATATATTATCAAGCAAATCTGCATGGATTCTAATACTAGCTTATCCACTTAATGACTGTGCTATTTTGAACCAATTACTTCTTTCCATGCCTCAGTTTCCTCAGCTGTAAAGTGAGAAATGTGTCAGCAAGACCACCATTAGCACACCTACATAGCTCCTTTGTACTGATTTTATAAAAGTACCTCCCAAAGGGCAGCGAAGTAGGAAAAAAAATTGTCTATTTTGGTGTCCCCTCTGAATATATGCGGTCCTGTGAGCTCCAAAGTGGTTAGTGGCTATGTCTTTGCGGAGGGAAAATAGTTCTCCCTCTCATTAGACAACTCTATGCAGGGTACACAGCTTGGTAAGTGTAAATACACACTGGAATTCAGCTCCCACTCACCTCTCTACTCAGACACTTATGTGCAGTGCACAATCCACAGAACTGTATATCAGCTCTGAATATCAGCACCTAAATCTTCCAGTTGTTGAGAGGATGAAATGAATGACACCAGATGGTTTAGAACACTGCCTTATGTATAGTAAGCCTCCATAAAGACTAGCTATTATCATATTATAATTATCAACCCTCCTATTCTTTTCTTTGGGTTGGCAATCTTTTTCTATAAAAGGCCAGGTAATAAATGTTTTAGCCCTGTGGGCCATATGGTCTCTGTTGCAACTACCGGACTCTGCTGTTGCTGTGTAAAAGCAGCCATAGACAATATGCAAAACAAATGGATGTGATCATGTTTTAATGAAACTTGATTTCTAAAACAGGGAGCCCTTCCATGGGCCATAGTTTACAAAATCCTATTTTGGACTGCTGGAATTTCTTCCATACAAAAATCAACTCAGAAAAAAAAATGTTGTAAAACCTCTAGTTTAGTACATCAAATAAAGCTAAGCTACAAGACTGTACTTCATCCTAATTGACAGAAAACCTTAAAAATTTCTTATAACTGTTAAACTAAAATAAAACCTTTTCTGACTTCACTTACTCTGCTGAATTAATTTATAAGTTTATAAAGTGATTGAATTTGAAAAGCTGCAGTATGATAGATAAATAAAAGTAAACCACAAGCCCTGGCTGGTGTGGCTCAGTGGATTGAGTGCCAGTCTGCGAACCAAGGGCTTGCCAGTTCGATTCCCAGTCAGAGACATACAGCCCAAGTCTCCGGTGGGGGGTGCACAAGAGGCAACCACACATTGATGTTTCTGTCCCTCTTTCCCTCTCCCTTCCCCTCTGTCTAAAATAAAATAAATAAAATCTTTTTTTAAAAAAAGGTAAACCATGAAGTAGGCGTTAGTAACTGCCCTTCTGTGACATCTAAGAATCATTCTGCACCTGTTTTATCATCAGCTGAATGGAATGCCCCCTGAAAAAATTTTAATACCATTTGATGAACATTCATATTTCCTAAATACTACTCTAAGACAGGGCACTGGTGATAAAATAATGGAAAACACATTATCATTGGTATCTTGGGGCTCAAAATTTAAGAAAGTCAATAAATATCCAGACAAAAACATAACAGTAACTTAAATGCTAAAATAGAAACTACAGATTAATACAGCAGAGCATAGAGAAGAGACTGCACCAGCCATGGAGATGAACATTATCTTAGGGCAGTTATAAAATATATTATACATACCAGGAAACTTCTGAGGAAGAAAACAGGCACTACTATTAATAATTACACTGGGACAAGAGGTGTAAACTAGAACTGTCCCAAGTAACTGGAAACATAGTCTCCCTAGACTTAGAAAGGAAAATCACTTAGACTTAAAACGATAAGGAATAATCAAGTAGGCAAAGTGAACTGAGAAGACATCAATAAGCAAAGGCAATAGCTTAAGCAAACAATATGAGGACAGAAACAGTCCAATGCTTGGAAGGGAATTATAAAAAGTATAAGAACTAAAATTAAATAAATAACATAACTACAAATATTTATTATATATTGCATATAGTATAAGTCAATAAATAATATAACTATATTATGGAAGACTTTATCCATAATAGTATTCAAAGTAGAGACAAAAGACTACAGGAGCTATGTCAGAGGAGTATATTTAAAGTGAATTTTCATGATCTGGTTTCTGGATCAAAACTATATCAGAATTTTAGGAAAAGGCCTACATATCTGCATTCAGGTAATCCTTATGCACACTAAAAACTGAAACTCCACCACTGGAAACCAGAGTTTTAAGAAGAAAAGGGACAGATTTACAATTTCTATTAAATACTTTAGTAGGATGATTAATAGGAGACAGAACTGAAGGCAAAGAGGTTATAGTAGGATACTAAGTAAACGGTAATAACCTTTATTAGGGCAATACTAAAAAGAATAGAAATAAAGTAAGGGACAGCACAATACGTTACACTGTTTTCAAATACTACTTCAAGGTGTTATATATTATGAGAAAAAAAAACTATATAACTATTTCAATCAAAAATCACTTAAGGTATTCAAATTCTCTTTCTGTGCAAATTTCTTGCTGAAAAGAGTAGCAATATATTCTATTATTAAATATATAAATTCTGAAATTACCTGTCATATAAATAAGAATATTGCTTCTATCATCAGAAAGAAGACGTTTTGACCGAGGAGTACTAGGCGGGATCCTCCCAGTCAACACCCGTAAAAAGTTCTCTACGGTTACCTGAAAAAAAAAAATGAGAGAGAGAGAGAGAGAAATATCAGATAAAACAGAACTTAGGGAAACCTGATAATTTGTCTTTACTTTCAAAAATATTCTCCTTTCTCTATGTATTGCTCACCATAATTGTTGTGTCAACAATTAAAAAGAAGAAAAGAAAAATACGGCACTTGCTAACTGTAACACATTTTCTCATGGCGAAATAGCGATCCCCCCTGCCCCCCGCAAAAAGTCATACCCCTTTAAACCAGATTTCCCAACCTGGGATTTCTGCACCTCTGGCATTTTTTGAAAGCATACTTAAAGACATGGAGAATGTAACGCGAATTTAAAGTTATACTGTACATATATAAATTTAAAAAGCAAAAAATCTTTCTAGCTTTCTTGTTCAACCTTTCTCTAGATCATCATTATATAAATGTGTCTAAGTGTGTGTGTGTGTGTGTGTGTGTGTAAAATGTTTTGTTTACATTTTTCCCAAAAGATAGCAAAATATTAAATGTGTTAATAGGACTTCTTATTGACTAACTAGGAAGGAAATTTTTTGGTCTACATTTTATAATGACTAAATAAACAAGTAAAAATTCCAACATTTATATACATTTAATCACTGGACAACATTTTTCAATGTCTTCAAAGGGCTATAGCTACTTGCTAGATATACGACACATAAAATATAAGCTCCATGTCCTTAAGGAGCTTACGGCCTGAGAGGAGATAGATACACTTTTAAAATTCCTTCAGAACAAGTCTGGAAACACAGAAAATTGTGCCTTACTTTTAGTAGGCTTGGTAAAAGAACGATTATCAAGGAAGATTCCATCAAAGAACACTTCAATTTTTAAACGTATTCACAATCCATTAAACTTAAAATGAAGTATAAGGGAGAAAATATAATATAATGCTATTATTCAAACTTACATTTTTATTTTTAATCATATAAGCATAAAAACACTAGAAGCATATTAAGAGTGGTTACCTCTAAGCAGTAAAAATATGGGTGAGTTTTTTTGTTAGGTACTTTAATTTTTTCCACAATGAATGTATTTACCAAAAATATAAAACTTAAAATTTTAGGTCAAATATAAAAAACGTAATACATTTACTATAAAACAAAGTCAACACATGAAACTCTCTAAAATACTCATAAAAACCAAGATAAAATTGTTCTGTCCTAAATACATATGTAAAATATTCACATTGTGATAGTTTTACTCAAATATTGTTTCCTTAATATGAACTACAGAGACAGAATTAGATCAAGGCTTCAGTGACAATTATGCACAAAGTTTAACGGCAAAAAAAAAAAAAATGGCTATTTTATTCAACCAGTATTTTAGAGCTTAAAAGTAACAGTAACTACATTTCAAAAATGTTGCTCAAACAATTTACCTCATAACTTCTATAGTCCACTTCCACATCATCCCCATATACATTTAGTTCCATATTCTTGTGACTAAATACTGTAGCTGGTTTGGGGTTCCTAGGGTTGCAGGCCATATCATCTGCAAGCATCAGAACAATGTGACTAGAAAAAAAATTCCAGAAAATATATTATTTAAATAAAACTAACAAGTTAAAAACAGACACAGTTTGTTGATATCATGTAGCAACTATGTGCATTCTTTTCTTCATTAAAAATAACTCAAAATAATTATTGAGTACCTATTTAAAAGAACTATTGTTTCTTTATGTAGTACAAGTTTTAAAGTAGAGAAATTGGAGCAATCTAGCATGAATTTATATGCAGAATTTGAAGTTACCCATTTAAATTTTTTTCACAACGGAGTATACCTTATGCCATACAAGAAGGGGAAGCTATGGGAGCTACGCTGTCCTCCCCAAACATTTAAAAACAAATTCGTAATGTTTGACATTCTCAGGACTTACACAGTCCACATTAAACTATGATACTCCAAAGAATTTGACTTTCAGAAGCACAAATGCTTACGTACAGGAAACATGCAATCAATCCATCGGCAAGTGCGATCAGCACAGCACCGGAACACATCACCAATCCAATCACTGTTCACTGGCCCCACTCCATCCCCCTAATACCAGCCAACCACCATCATCTCTTGACTAGATGCTAGTAGAAAAGCTCCCCACCCCGGCTTCGTCTTCCATTCACACCTTTTTATAGTTCATTCTTCTTATAACCACCAAGGTAATCTTTCTTACATAAGTCAAATCATCAAACTTTCTTACTTTAAAATCCTCCAAGGACTCCTCACTGTAATTAGAGAAAAATCAAAACTCCTTACATGATCTACAAAGCTCAGTTAATGTGGTCTCCATCTCTCTATCTTCGGCCCCCACCGCCCAATATGCTTGTCTACAGGAAGGGGTGTCCAACCTGCAGCCCACAGGCCCCATGCGGCTCAGGGTGGCTCTCAATGCAGCCCAACACAAAGTCGTAAATTTACTTAAAACATTAGGAGATTTTTAGGGTGATTTCTTGTCTCAATGTTCTTAATGTGTGGCCCAAGACGACTCTTCTTCCAGTGTGGCCCAGAGAAGCCAAAAGGCTGGACACTCCGGCACTGACCTTTCTGTTCTATGAATATGCCGAGTCTTTCCCACTTCAGGGGCTACTGACCAAATTCGACTTCTCTCCTTCCAAACCTTTGTAACATTCTAATCTCAGCTAAGGTACTCTATTCTCATTATGCGTTTATTTTCCACAGGTTATTTATGACCCTGAAATCCCATGCTCTCCCACCAGCACCCCCCGCCCCCGAATATAAACTCTCTGAGGACAGGGCTTTACCTCTCCTGTTCACCACTGTTAACGCTCAGGCTTAGTAACAGAGCCTGACATACAGTATTCAATTAATATTCATTGAGTGAATGAAATATTTTCATTTGTGCATCTATTTTCTTTGAGAGAAAATACAAAATTTCTCTACAATACTTATCTTGATCTTACCATTAAAACTGCTGAACATGAATCAAGGAATTCTTTACCATATACTTGAGCTCCCCAAACATAAGGGAAAAATTAATGTGGCATATGTAACTAGTTTGGCAGAAGATAACAAGAAGAAAATGTTCTGCTGCATATGTTCCAAATGCACTGAAGTTCAGAACTGAATCATTGTGATTTTTCTTGGAAATTGGCTAGATCTGTATTTTGAAAGGGTTCCAACTCTGCCACATTCAAAGATCAGTTATTCAGCTGTTACTGACTCATATTCACATAATTATGAAAGTTTTTCCTCTAAAATTGGAAAATATATCTTCTCTTTTTAATAATTTAAGATGATTAACTTACATTAAGTAATTATTAATCATATCTTTTTTGTTATAATCCATTATTATACAAAAGTGAACTGACCTCCCAATATCAGTATAAATATGAGTATTCCTTTAGGCCGTATCTTTGGTTTAAGATTCAATATCTACCCAACATCAATATTATAAAGCAGCAGTATTTTCAGCTTCAAATCATAAATTCAATCAATGTTTTTCTTACAGATAATTTTATTAGAATCTACTTTTCAATTACAATTTACACAGAATGTTAGTTTCAGGTTTTCCTATAATTTTGAGCTTTAATATAAGTACTATAACCCTCTGTTAACATAATCAATATATCATTTAAAAATAATTATATTTGTGGATAATAAATGAAAACCATGACAGGAAACAGACTGAGTTTCTAAAGTTTAGAAGTCCAACCACACATTCTGTTCACTATTCATTAAACTTAAGAAATGTTCAGAACTGCTTGGTGAAGAAAAAAAAATTCTCTATTGGTCCAAGTGTTAAATTATTTGTATAATGATATTTAAATATATACATGATAGTACACTCCTTAGGCTTATAGTTCTTATAACACTATAAATAAATATAAAATTATAAATTAACAAAACTACCAAGCTAATAAACTCTAAAAACATTAATTCCATTTGAAGGATGATGTTATTTTGCCCAAACTAAATGACTACAGTTATATTTAACAAGAAAAAGAGAAAACATCAGGCTTGGCTCTACAGTTCACTTTTTTCTATATTTGACTTCCACACTGCAAATTATTTTGATGATATAGGAAGTCTGTTCACAAAACTATGTTGTACAAAATGCAATTGGTAACTTCCAGACTCTGTTTACTATTCAGGATATCAGATCTTACATTTAACAACGCCTTTGCCAATAAACATTCTTTGCACACCAGTTATCATGAGTCCTTCAAGTTTAAGGAGTCCAACTTGACTCCTTAAAATGTCTTTTTCACTTGAAAATCAGGTTAGCATCACAGCAGTTATTTAAGTCTTTACTGAGTGGGTATCAAATCACCGCAGGAATTAAGATCAATCTACACTGAAGACAAATTACTACATCCCAATAAATAATAGGAAGTTGTATCTTATTAAAATTTTTTAAAAATCTCGCAAATATATCCTATCAATATAAGAAAATGATATTTTTACAGTTTAGCCATCTTATACTACCAGGTGTGCTGACTCAATTTTCACACTTTATTCACGCCCCTGCAAAACCCACATCACACAACAAAGCATATGTTATTATGGCCTTCTCTCAACACAAAACCCAAAGAAAAAGTGAGCAATGAAATTGTATGAAGTTCAAACAGGGTTTGAATCCAAACAATAAAGTGGTTATTTACATAGGTAGTTTTCACATTTTTAGTATCATGTAGTCCAGTAAAATTTTTTTGAAAATGTGAGGGCAAACCCATATATGTCTACTAATTTCTAAGTCATATGTATTTGCTACTTTACATACACATAATAAGTATTAGTAAAGCATAATATCTTCCTTTTTTAGATGAAAAAGGAAACTAATATTTTCTTCCCTTACCACTCTTTGGATATAATCTAAATAAAATACCTTGGTCATGCTGATATAGATTTTAAAGATCACAAATATAAAAATGAAAATTTAAAACTTCTCAAAAAAGAAACATATGTGGAGGGAAAATGGTCTCAAATACTCTCCCATTACCATGTTTGCCAAACATTGAAGGACCAGCTAAGCCCTGCATCAGGATTGCTCGGGTCCTTTGCCCACCTCCCTGAAATTCTTCCTTGGCCCATTCAGGAACTAATAACCAATAGGTAAAAATACATATATACATTTTAAATAGATTAAAATCTTTTACCACCACAGGCCATTAGAGTATAAAATTTCAAAAACCATAACTTTTCATTTATAATAGACCGGTGTTACCTTAATAAAAGTTTCACCAGTTGAAATTTAAATAAATTACTGGATTGGTTAAGATGTCTTTAAACTGTTCACTTAAAACTGCTAAACAGCCCTGACTGGCGGGGCTCAGTGGGTTAGATATCACTCCCACAAACCAAAAGGCTGCAGGCTGGATTCCCGGTCAGGGCGCATGCCTGGGCTGCAGGACAGGTCCCCACTGGGCGGGGGGGCGGAGGGGTGCAAGAGTCAACCAATCGATGTTTCTCTCTCATATGATGTTTCTCTCCCTCTCTTTCTCCCTCCCTTCCCTTCTTTCTAAAAACAAGTAAGTTTAATCTTTAAAAAAATTGCTATGTGTTCTATAGCCCTGCTACTAATCAGGCACTACTACTGTATAGCATCTTTAGCTACCAGAGCTAGGATCACCAGGCTTCTTTTCGATAACATCACCATTCCCACATAGAACAGTCGCTAAAAGTAAAGCAGCAGATTGAGGATCACAGGGATCTTTGATGCTCTCTAAAGCTCTGGTTTCTGCTCATAGGTGTCCCTTTTGTTTTCCTGACAAATTATTCAGGATTCTCTGTATATTATTGCTTCTTCAGGACTTCAATGACTGCAGGACAAAGCAAATGCAACAAATTTTGTTATATTTTCATTAGCTAGATGCCAAAGTAATTCACTTTTAGGCTTTTCTTTCTCCTCTTCCGTGTCTTGGGGAATCCCCAAGTTAATAAATATCACCACCAATGTACTATGAAACTAATCATAGCAAATCTATTAACTGCAGGCACTAGACCATTAAGATTTCACAAATTTTAACTCGCCAAATGTCACACAATTGGCATTATTAGACTATATGATGCCAGGTACTTTGAACTCACATTATTAGAAACAAAACTAAAAATAAACTACACTGCAGAAATAGGAAGTCAACAACAGCATGCTCACACATTCAAAGTCACATGTGTGTTAGTATAATATGATGATAATTAACATTTACAGAGAACTTGATATACCTCAATATCTCAAGCATTGCAACTAATAAAATAAGCACATTACAAGCATTATCTCATACATTAATTCCAAGATATACAAGGTGGGGCATAAGTAGGTTTACAGTTCTGAGTATGTGAAACAATTTATTCTTGTATTATTATTTATTAACTATTGCATTATTTTCCATACAAACAACCATATACCTACTTTTGCCCCACCCTATTTTACAGGATATTAACCTTAGGCACACTTTAAAAGTTAAGTAACATGTCATGGGTCACACAGCTAATGAAGAGTAGAGTTTAGATTCAAATCCAGTTTCTTTAACATGAACATTTGCTTTTTTATTTTAATTGT